TTTTTTATTAGCTTAGAATCGTCGAACGCTTTTGGGCACCTCAAAATATTAACAACCAAAGTAAGCACAATATATAGAATAAAATAGGTCGTTGTCGTGGACGGCTCACGTTTGAATTATATTATCCAGCTACTTGAGTGCGGATAAAGGCGTGCTATTTTTCGTGTAGTGAGACCACGGATTATGAGAAGTTGGCATAACTTCATGAACAGCACACGAGCGACTGAAGCCCATTGAACTTAAACAAAATCGACTTGATACATTTTTCAGAAGATGTACGCAATGACAGATCGAACAGCTAAATTTCAACACCGTATCTACGAAAGACAAGGTGCCGAAGTTTCGACATTAAAAATGCCGTTGTACCATGTAATATGGACGATGTGAGGTCGGAGGTCAATTTTGGCGATCACCTGACTTTCTTTTTTAATTAGAAAAAGAATGGAAAAAATAGAAAGGAAAAAGCGGTGGAAGTTCTAAAAAGTGATTAAAAAAAAAAAACTACTAGGAGAGAAATTATTCAGAACAATTAAAATGTAACATTTACATTTAAATAATGGGCTTAGGTCCCTTTTCATTAAATCAAAACAAGAAGTAATTAAGCGAAGGACGATTCGGGAAAGTTTGGATAGGGTAATTAGCTCCCGCGTTATCTCAAAAACTGTTTTTCTTCAGATATCGTATTAAAAATCACTCTCACGGTCTTGTCAGCGTGTTGCAACGGGAATGTGTGATGGGACCAGCTTCGACTTGAAAGCGTTACTCAAGGATAAGTATTTAACGCGAGAAAAAAAAGTTCATCTTTCACATTTCTTGTGCCATACATTTCGCCGGAGCCAATACGATCCATCACAACGTCAGGCCGAAAAGACACGAAAAACGTCGTAAAAAGTGCCCCCCTGTTAAAAGGACGGTACGGTGGCCTTTTCCGTATTTTCATTTTTTTGGGCAAATCTTTTCTTTTGCAAAATTTGCCCGCTGGACAATCACCTTTGTGGTTTTAACGTTAACACGAATCAGAAACTAAAAACCTAGTTCGAACATTTCCTTGAGACGAAACCTGCTATCTTTGTGAAAAGACAGAAAACAATGACGGGGAATACTGTCACAATAGTAAAAATGTGGTGTTTTCTATTCAATGTAACATCATCGGAGCTTATCGTCCAGCTCAAAAGATCGCCATTAGGTTTATAGAGAATCATGATCGACGCTTTCGTAGTCTCGAAAAATCTGTTACCAGATGTGTTTGTCCATCCAGCGTCTTCATATGTGTTGTGATCTGATATGATCAACGGATCAGTGACCGTTAGATTTTCGATCATGATAAGTTTGAACCAAAGCCGACGTATCGTTTGCTGCTAGTTAAGTAGAAACTAGAAACGTCGATTTAAACCCTATTCGTACTATTATTCGAACTAAGTACTATTAGAAGGGCGTACTATATCATTAACTAGCTAGCACTGGTCATTGTCAATGTACAAATTGACAAAAAGGAAAGCCAACCAAAGATTAGAATCTCGACAAACTATGATTCGTCTACGAACAGCATACAAAATAATAAGAAGGCCACAAACTCCTCGTATACCTTGTGTGCACTGTTTGGGGTGATCACAGTAGTTTTACTGAGACACACAAATGTATCATTAAAACAGAATGGGTAAAAAAGATCAATTAGACATAATATCCTGTTTTTTTCGCGATTTGAAGTGCAACCGACGAGTGACTGCTTGCTGAACCTAGAGAATGTCTGCTGGACTAAAGCGTTCCCGTCTTTCTATCGTTCTGCACTATTATCGATGGGCCAACTCAAATTAACAATAAAGACATAATCCTGCACTGCGATTTGCTCGCGTCACCTCCGACTAGCCTGCTGTCCGTTACCCTTTCAGTTGAAGCTCTGGAGACCCATTGGGGTTTACTAGATTCTGCTAGTGGCTATTGATGATGATTACTGGCAGCACATAGACCTAATGGCTGTCACTACTTGACATGGATTCTTAAAATGTTTTTTTTGACATAAATCATCTGTTTCCAAATGTATCGCTTTATCTCCTTCTTATCGAGCGTGCTCGCCACTACATGGTGAATACTACTTAGAACACAACCGCTTTGATGCCTGGTATGGAACGCGGTGCCGCGTTATACTATTAGGGTCACGAATGTAAATAATAAACAGCTTTTAATTCAGACTAAGAACATAAAAGGCCTGGCCGCTAGTCAGCGCGTTAGTAACACATTTTGAGATTTTCACATCCGGTGCCAGCATTGAGCCTTACCTCAGACGGCTTGCTCCCAGCACGAAACAGGGTTTGTCTACGTTCAATTTCAAGCATAGGCCATCACCGATTTGCGCCTATTCAGTGTGGGCTTAGTCTTTTATAGGTTACAAGACCTGGGGATCGATGAGTCCGAGGACCAGGCCGTGGACGTGGAAGCCGCAGAGGCAGTCCGGTTCGCCACATCTATTTGTCTGGGAATCAGACAGCCCCAAAAGACGTACTACCGATGAGGTCACCCTAGTACGGGTATTGTCGTTAGGCTAGCTCTGGTCCATGTGGTCGCCGGCGCTGAAGAGAAGGACAAAAGAAGAATCTTGCTTGGGAAGGGCTAATGGCGACGAAGTGAGGCTTAGCCGACAAACGCAACTATGAAGCCACCAAATACCGACGGGAAAGGCTCCAGAAACACAAGGCGCCTGGAACGTGTGAACGACGGAAGTGCAAAGGCACTCAGACCTTAGAAAGGATTGTACCGATAACGCACAACTGCTAGGGAGATGGGCTGCTAGGCGACGTTGCAACGAGACCACTAGCTGGAAGCGCAGCCGCACGCAGTACGCGCAGCATGGCGGATAGCAATAGCCGATGGTCAAAAAGGTAAAGATGTTATTTCATTTTCAGTAAATGCGTAAGAGCGCCAGCCGCTACCCGATAATACTGCTAGTTCATGACCAACTACCCAGTTAGTTACCTATACTTCAGTATATCAATTTACTTCAATGTATGCCAAAAGTCGTAGGCGAGATTTTCTTAGTCGTTTCTTATGGCTATTCATTCAAAAATAGAGCTGTGCTTTTTATTTGATGGAATGAAGTTTATTAAAATAATCAACCTTCACCTTGTGTTTGTCCATTGCTGTGTTATTATAATAACCGCGTTGCCTTGATTGTATGTTATTGTATGTTAAATTACTACGTGCGCTTAGTTACGCCCATAATTACTGAATGTCTTAGAAAACTGTCGATTTGTTGAATCATTGTCGATACAGGTGGCCGAATTCTACACTGTTTCTATACTGGATCTTGCAGATAGAAAATGCACGACCAATTATTAATTATATGTTGATTATTTCTCTGGCCGAACGATTCGTACGATGATATATATATATATAGATTTTCGTGCGGGCTTCCATCTATCGCCCTTCACGCATAGCCTCGATGAGGGCCCTCCACTGTAGCACCGTTCGTTTTCAAACTGATCCATAGATTTGTTATTAATAAAGTATATAGACACGTGCAGCGAACAGGTACTTGGTCTGACCGAAATTGATCTGGCTATATTTTAAATGGTTCGAGCAAATTACATAAGGGAACATTGACGGTCAGTTGTGTCGGTGATGATTCTGCAATGTTCAATACATATGTGTAACCGTGTTTCATCAAAATGCTCTTCATTCATGGTGATAGAAGGTATTAGTTTTGCTATATTTGTGCATAGTCATTCCCTACACCTGAAACGTTATTTCGAATATTTTTCGCTGAAGGTGAGTGAGAACGTTACGAGAATTGTACATTTCGACGAGCACATGTCCACGGCCTGAAGGGCACAGGTTCACTCAGGACAGGAATCACACTCACTACGTGTTAAAACGGACATGGGTCAAATGTGACAGAGTTGACTGAATGAAAAAAAGATCATCGCTATGCGATGTTTCTTTTGCCGCTATCTGTGTTACTAGCAGCGGCGATATACAAAATTATACACCGTTCAAGTTACCTGCCCAAGTTACCTGTTATCATCGGTTATCGGTTAAATATCGGTTATCAGTACAGCAGCGCAGATTGCCAAATCGAAATTTTGTTCTATCAAAATATAGTCTCTTTGCGTGTGCATGCTGCATGTTTTGTACTGTCAAGAGCAATATATTGAAGGATATGTCAAGAATAGGGTTGTCTTGGATACGATCGTATAAAAATAAGATGAAATACATTGACAATCGCACAGGATTAAAGCACAGCTGTCCACCAGTGTATCGTCAGGACGTTAATGTGCGTATATTAGTGAGTATAGCACATCATACGTTCACTGCAGATACGTTCCGAAGAACTAACTTCGTATCGTCCACAGCCTGAAGATCGTCGTCTTCGGTCGGCCAAAGCGCGACCAAAATCGTCAAATTTTAGTTGACACGACTTGTTGAATAACTCTGATGGGTTTAATATATAGGTAAAATAATAATATGAAGTGACTGTTTGCTACATGAGAGACCCTTCCTATATACGTGAGCAACAGCTTTTGCCGACAACGAGGATTTTCAAAGCTCGTCGGTTATCAAAATCAACAGCCTCAAAATAGGTTTCCGATTTTAGAATTTGACAATAAATACTGTGGACTCCAATGTACTTCTGTCCACAGTCGGTTACCCAACGTAGGCCATTTAAATACAACTACGATAAGGCCGTACGTCGAATAAACAGAAAACGGTGTTTATCCGCTGCCGCCGCTTCACTCATAGCAGTATTTACTTTTTTCACAAAATGTAACAAGGTCGTTTTTTTTTTTGTGAGCTTCTACCGGCGGCGTTCATATACAAACTGATTGAACAGTAGAATTTTCATATTTATCTTGGAATGATAAAGTTTACAAAAAAAAAGCTGTGAGAATATAATTCGGCAATAAATTTCACCTATCTAATGTTGTCGAGATCTTGTCAACGGATTTTTCACTTAAAATTTGAAAAGAGGTCGAATCCTATCTCGTTTTATATTTGAGCTCGAAAAGCTTTTACTTCTTTTTTTTTTTTTGTATCAAGTTAGTGTTTTTTTCCTTTAATACCGTTGGCCAATGTATGAAACTAACCGCTTCTCCTAACATTTTCACTATAGCTGAATTGAAAATATATCTTTAGAAAGCTTTTCACAGCCTAATTTCTACCAAATTAAAAGCGATGCATATTGAAATGGGTGCCTGTTTCAATCGGCTTAAGTTATTGTAAGTAATTTTGTGTCACCCTGCTTTCCGCATGCCAAATAGAAGGCCCATAATGATCTCCGTGAAATACAGAATATCAAATGAATATTTTCTTTCCAAAAGACATTCCGAAAGTTAATGAGGATATGCTTTGCCGTTGCTCTGTTGGCCAAACATGGACCATTTGAATAGGACCAGTGTCCTTATTTCAAAGCAAGAGAAGAATATAGTAGAAACAGCAAGGCTTATGAATTGTTAATAAAAAAAAATATAATGGTACTAGTAGAGGCGAACCGTGTTTACCGATAAATTATGCCGTCACACTTTTTCGGAAATCTCACATCCCTTGCAAAATAAATAAATGCGTGAAACCGAATCCGTAACTACCTCGTGTACAGCTAATTATAGTAAAAGAGGCACAAGAAATATATACGTATATATATTGTATACTTAAGGCACTCGTCACTGCTACATCCAATGAGATATATATATATACAAGAAGACGCTTCGTCTAGTTCACGCTCGTGAATGCAAAAAACGAGCTCCATTTTCTACTATCGTGTATAATTATAATAAAAAAAATATTAGGAATATATCTTCATTAATAGTGAAATGTGTTGTCTGTGTGCATATGGTATATACGCTGCTCTGACGATTATGATCGTGGTCAGATAAGCGTGCATCCTGCATCGTTGCCGGTCTAATAGTTTCTCCAATGCGCTTGTATCAGAATCGAGCAAAAGAGGCATGAGCGGTCTCAATGAACGAATGAAATTGTATATCTTGATGTATATATATATATGTGTGTGTGTTTTTGCGCTAGATGGGGCTGTAGTTAAATCGCATTATTGGAGTTTTTCAGTGCTTCGATAGCACATAAAATATACGCGCTTTATATCTGTTGTGCTGTACCCAAACTAAAATATAGAAAGTAGCACTTTTTTTTTGCAAAGTATCTTGTCATATCCTATTCTTTTACCTAATATCCATCGAAATTATAGCTAGGAACACCTATGTTTGTACGACAGTGTCCCGCTTTCGACGAAAAGACATTGCGCGATTGACGTGGGACCAATCGAAGGGCACAGAAAAAATTAAGAACACACAATGTTTGACACAAGGTCTCCGCTGCCCAATCTGTCGTTAACAAATCTGTTTGCTGCCTGTTTAGCTGCCAGTAATGTTTTGGTGCTCCGTTCAAAAGGTAATGAACTTACAGATTCACCGGTACACAAAAAAAAACTTTCAACTGTTTCCACTTGATATAGGTGAACGGTGAAGATAACAAAATGTTGCTCGTAATCTATGCCCCCAAAGCCAATGACATCTGCCTATCTGTTGATCCGTTTTCCAATCGAGCTCATCCTGTTGAAACTCGACGAGGCAGCATGCTGGAACGATCCATGTCCTCCTGCTGTCCGGCCTTCCGAGTAAAGATTACGTTCGTTTCGACTATCTTAACAAGATGCACTCTCTTCTCCTGTTCCGTGATCGAATGCTGGGTATAATCCTTACCGTTGCACAGACCCAACCGTGAACCATTTATTACCAATGCAGCACTTTATGATGACTGGTCAAACAAATCCTATATATTGGGCTATGCAAAACTTTGATGCCAACGTTGTCAGCAGTCGCTTGCATAGGGTTGAAGATTACACACGACGTGGTAATCAGGTCCGTTGCCTCAATTTTTAGGTTACTTGGACCCGTTTGGTAAGGTACCGTTTCCATTGCGTCCTTTCCTCTTGCGGCTGCGAGAATTTTTTGAATTGCTGGTTGAATTAGATGACGTTGACGACTGCATTACCTACACACAGCAAGATTAAGCATTTTTTAACGTTGGCCTAGACGCTGATGGTTGGCAAAACCTCTGCCAACTTCTAACCATTCCATTAGGCCTTGACCACTAAGGCCCTGGTGGTTCTGGGACAGTGTGTCTGCCGTTCGTTCATTTCAGAATAGTTAAATGTAGTGCAAAAGGCCATGAATAGCGTATTTCCTTTACAGTTCGAAATAAATTTAGATCGTATAATCGCACTCGTAATATATGCGGAATTGGTGCATATCGTGCCGAAGGCATTACTGCCCATTGCGGAGTATCGACCGTTGAGTGGTCTTAGCCCTTGCGAAGATCGTATAGCGGTGCTATCATATAGATATGGAACATTATCCGACGAGAAATTAAAAAAAGTAGAAAATTGACCTTAAATAGCGCAGATACCTTTTTCGTCGTTTGGTTCTGTGAGCTGCAGCGAGATTCCTGCATTGAACTGCTCATGTGTTCGACCACCTACGAGGTATAGCAGAAGTTAGAATAATAATTGTTAAAATATGCATAAGGCCTCCACAAAAATGTTTTGACATACTTTGCCAAGTTATTTGAGATGAAGTGCGGCTACGTTGCAGGTTCTTGTCAAACAAACGTGTTTAAAATTGGACCTTTTATCGCAGGTCTACTAGAACTATGAACACTTCAGGAATCAAACTTGAAGTGCCAGTAGCGAAGACAGAATTTCGTCACGGACGCTATTATTCACTGTCACAAACAACATTGTACTTAGGGTAAACTCTGGATAAAGTATACTTCACTGATATCTATAGCTCCGAACAGCTTTGCTTATCGCGATGTATAGTAAGTTAATTTTAAGTACGAGCTTGGATCTTATGCTGACGTACTTAGAGACATTAATAGAGACGTTGGTGCCATTTGTGATTGCCGTTGATATTGCACATAACAGACAATTTGTATACAATGTAACGAGGCTAAGGGAAAGTAGAAGTAGGCGGTAATATTAGTTAGGAATAAATAATTCCGCATCGACATAAAACGAAAGCTTCGTTATTAATTCAGCGCGTCTGCTTGTTCCCATATTAGATTGCGTCATATTTGAAGAAAGCAATTAACCTAAGCCCCAATCGGCTTCCGAGCTTATCTATGTTTTTTGAGGTATTCTTTCAGTCTTAGCTGGGTGACTAGCAATAGTCGTCCACTGCGTCAGCGTGAACGGATCGGTGGTGCAAAAAACGAAGAGTTTCTACTGGTCTTCCTCGGGTATAGGCTCGATGAAATGCTTTTCACCACTAGATGGCTGTTTTTACGGTTAGATGAGCATACCCCGCTGTGATACTTCCACCTTGACTGCATGCCACACCGGGGGATGCGGAATCACTAGAAATAGTAGCTCCGTAGGTTTCGTCGACGCTTTTCAGATCAACATCTAGCTTACATATTGCGTCTGTGCAAAATAAGTCTTTTATTAGTGAATATACATTTAGTCAGTTTGCATCATGAACTGTACCCTCACCTATCGTTATAGTAGCGTAAAAAGCTATGGGTCAGCATGGTACATACTGCTATAAGTACTAGTAAGCATTATGGGTATAAGCAATGGATGATGATAATTGCCTCACTGTAAGAGATGAGTGAAATAAGTGGATGACGTTTGTCAACGCGTAGTCTTTCCCATTCAATCGCCGTTTGAAGTTTCTCTCTCCCTTTTTTAGCTCGTTGCCCCTCATACCTTAACCAACTTTTTTTCGGCGATTTTGTCCATCTGTCCTTCCTGCGTGGTTTGTTGCATTTTCTCCGTTAATTCATGGACCGTGGTACTCTCGATCTGCTGTTCCTGACTGCGTTCGATAATAATGGTCGAATCTTCGGCATCGGTTGCTGATGGCGACACCTCAAGCGACTTCATCTCCTCCACCACCTGCAAGCGACGACGGCGCCGTCATCATTACCGCATTGCCCCAGCAACAAATAGCAGTGCGAAGAGAAATCCGACCGCAACCGACAGAAACGCGACCGAAAAATAGCATAGTTGATATGTTGAATTGCTGGACAAGCTCAGAGGTAACGCACGCAGCTAGCAACGATTCGATTCTCAATTGAGGTTAAGTTTCATTGTAAGTTAAACTGCCCCAAAGCATTAACAACAGCAGCCACCAAAGCACGAGAAGAGGTTTTTAATAATGCAAACGTGTCATGCAGTATACAACCTTCATTTTGGATATATTGGTAGGGTGTGACCGACGTGTAGCGCGCTAATATTCCTTGTTTCAATGAACAAATTAAGCGCACGGACGCCCCAATACTTACTGAGCATAGTTTAGTAAATGGTTTTCATATAATTTTTTATAATTACTTAATGTAAGTTAATTATTCCCTAAAGGATTCTATGAGCTATCTAGGCGTAAAATTATAAATTATAGGCGAACGAACCGTGACAAACTGCGCAATGATATCAATGTACTATGAAAAACAACAATTAAAAAACACCTATGTTTGTTTTTGTTTGATCTCGTCATCGGAAGCTCTTCATAGCATCTAAAAATTTTACTGAGTTTCGCAGGGATGCAAATCTCGTATTCAGTCAAATGCTTGTCAGACGATGGGTATTTGAAAAGTCTGTACGTAAGTCAACAGTACACAGTAAGCGATACCATGCAGGATTTTATGAAGACCACTGCACGCTAACAATGCACGACATGTACGGAACCGCATACAAAGCACAAGACACAGGGCGAGGCGTATTTGACTGCATGTGGTGGCTAAGCTTTCAAATTGCAGGTCATACAATTTGTACACTTTGGTTAGAAAGAACAGAACTATTGAATCGGAATAACAGTGTTTGTGACTGACAAATACGTACCGAGCTGATCCCAGAATCGGTATTCGGTGACTCCAGATCTTCAAGGCCGCCTGTTACCTCTTCGGTAAAATTTCCAATAATCTTCCCTATTAGATCAGGATCTCTGCCGTTAACTACTCGGGTTTCCTCCGAAACAACGACTGCCTTTTTAGTGACCACAACCTGTTTCGAGAAGCATGAAAACCCTAAGATTAAGGTGCCACGTTTTTAATCAGAGTCATAATTCACTACTAAGTAATCTCCTCTCGGTGATTTTAATACAGTAACCTTTTTAACTCACAAAAACGCTAAGATTGCGGTGAAGATTCTCCGTTTACTACGTCAGGGTTCCGCGAAAATGTTATAGCTTCCAACAACTTTGATAACGTACTGCCGCTTGAATAAAGGTGTTTTTTTTTTCTTTTTTGCACATGGATAAGTTGAGCTCGCTATTACTGTTAGGATTTTGCTTGAGACAAACAGTAACTGATGCACTTGGCACTCCCCCAATCTTTCAAACAAGAACAAGGCCTACTCACTTCAACTGTTTCAACCTTGTATCCTTCGCCCTCCTCGACCTGTTCCTTGACTTTCCGTTCATCCACGTGTTCACTTTCGACCCTCCGTTCACCGGTGCCATCTTCAATCTTTTCAATAGCGATCGTTTGCTGTTTCCGTTTGTCATGTGATTCTTTCGTGTCGACCTATCCGCGTCAACAACAGACCCAGATAGGACGAAGCAGACAGAAGAGAATGCGCAAAGCATCGGGTCGATTGGTCGCGTTAGATTAGAATATTTAATAGATTAGGTCTGAAGCGAAAGCGGAAAGTAACACTAGCTAGCATCTGCGTTTATTGATTTGTTGATCCATATAATTGTATCACATGCGTTCATAAAGGTACTAGGAACAGGTAATGCTGAATACATATTATACATGAGACGAGTTATTAATTGTAGTTTGGGATTAGATAAACGCGACTAATTCTCAGTAGGTTTTGTAGTTTAAAAGGTCTTTTATTTCACCTGTAACATCTAGATATTGTTGTTCTATCATTTTGTAATTATATGGTAGCGTCATTGTGCTTGTGTACACGGCTCACAGAAAGGAACTTCTACTATTACAAAGCAAAAAGCTCAAACTTTTCCACGCACACATAGCATTAGTGTGTATTTATTACCTAGGTGTTAACTATGACTAACCTTGCGATCATTTTCAGTCGTGACTTTATTGTCCTTCTTTTCAGCTGTAGGCTCTTTATCCTTTTTCTCTAGGGTAGCGGATTTACGGTCTTTGCGTTCCGGTGTAGAGCTTCGACGTTTTTCCGGTGTGGAGCTTCGACGTTCCTTGATTATTTCCTTGGCCACCTCCTATGTACGTATATAACACGACGAATACAGTATATATCGCAACATAAGTGCAATGTACTTCGATTACTGTGAATGCTGTATGCTGTTGAGCAGCATGTATTGTCGACTACAAATGCACGCGTGGTACTGGCCGGATTCTGATTATCATGCAGTCATTTGCGGTTAGGTGCCTGACACTAAATGACGCGCTATATTTAACACTTGTACTATCTATTACCGTGTACATATCTGCTCGACGTGGGAAATTGTTTGACCTAAATATTTACCTTCTCCTTGACGGTGTCCTTCTTTTTGACCGAACGCTTTCGCTTTGGCCGTGCATCCTCATCCAGCACTAATACTCCCATAGGAGCCGTCGCTTTTGTAGCTGACACTGAGACACGATCGAGCTCCGAGGCTGAGTTGAGATAGAAACCTTCCCCAAATGGTGTAAAAACAGTTGACGAGATTCCATTGATGTCATCCTTGCGGCAACAATCGGCCGTAATTATCCGGCGCAGATCGGGCAGTGAGAACACCATAGCTTGACCTTGATTCGTCATGGCTACCAAACAGAATTCATTACGCTCAGAATTGGAGAACTCTGCTGCTTGGAGCTTGCGCAATCGGGACCCCTCATTAGCAGTCAACTTTACTTTATGTAAGGGTTTAAGTTGAGGTAGCGAAAACACTTTGATCTGTTCCTCTGAGCAAATAACTACCCGCCACAAATTGGGTATAGGGCTTTCCTTCGGCGGATTTTCATGGCATAAATATCCATGGGAGTCAACTACAAATACACCGAGAACAGGAGCATGGTGCTTTAAATGTATTTCTTTGCACAGAGACATTGTTGCCTGGTTGTCATCGCCGCTGCGCTTTAGCGTATAAACAAACACGGATCCCTGATTTGTAGATGCCCAAAAAGTACGGGATGTGTTTGCGTGCGAGAGGATATATGCATCGCTAAATACTAGAGAACGAACCATTGACGAGAGCCCATCGTCCTGCATAATTCTCGATTCTACTTGCCTCTCAACCGGTTTGACATCGTCTAAATTTTTTGCCGTTTTTCCGCGTTGCGAACGACCTTTGCGTAGGCGACGGAAACTTTCCCTGAGTGACTTTTTGAAGCTCTTACGACGCACCATGTCACCTGAATGCGCCCCTACGCCTCCCAAGTCGCTTACGCTCAATGTGCATTTGAACATCACCACCTGTTCGGATAACAGGTCGACGCAGCCGAAACCATGAGCTGTACCAGCTGCGACGAGACCCCATTTTTCTGTGATAGCGAGTGCCGTCAAGCCAGCTGGAGGTAGTACTTGCACCAAACAAAAGACATGGTAGTTACTCTTAAGATTACCCTCTGGGTCATAGTTCAATTCATCGTGGCCTTTCCATACGAATTGGTCACGATCGCCAACAAGATTTAGAGTAACTACCTTAGGATCATTCTTCTTTTCCAGTCCTAACACAAGGACTTGTCCAGCAGTGCCTCCTACGACGAGTGTTCCAGTTTCTGAATTGAAAGCGAGCTTCTTAACTGCAAACCGGGGATCGTCTGAATACGGATCAAAGAAACCAACCTTTGTGAATTGTAGAAACTCATCTTCGTCTTGGTCTACACTGCGCGACGCCTCGTGACAGCGTTCATTGAACACGAAGTTTGTGCGGATACAGGCAAGCAACTTCATGACTACTCCAGTTGCATCGTAGATTCGTACACTTCCATCCTCGTGACCTGTGAGAATGAGTTCACACTTTTCCGCTTCCGCCCCCTTACTCTTGTCTTTCTTTTCTTCCTTGTCATCTTTTTCTATTTTGTCGGGTAATTTGCCCCCGGTAATCGGCCACGGCGCAGTGGACCAGTCATCGTTGCTGAGGGTATCAGTGAGCTTCGTCACGATCTCTTGAGGAACACCTGGGGCATGAATCACGTTAGTGATGGCTGAGCAGTGCAATGGAAACAGATATGGCAACGGAATTTGCTTAAAATCATTTAGGCTGATCGCTACGATTTCCTCTTCCGCCAGAACGACAATCACCTTCTTGGCTACGACGAAAAAGTCGATCACCTTTGACGTAAACTCGAACACTTTACGCTCAATAGGACCATGATGAACCGACAACGTAGATCGATCGCCGTATTGGGCCCGTGGCATTCCTCCTGAAAATATCAGGGTTCGCTCATTGTCGAATGCGTACAGTTTATCTATAGGCTTGCACGGGTGGGGACCATAGATTTGATCGACGTGTTTTGTAGAAGATGAAAGGATAGTGCTCCAAACCGCAAAACCGCCATCTCTGTGACACGAGACGAACTTGCTTTCATCAATAATGTAAACTGAGGAAAGCTCCTTCCGAGATATGTACGTTTGCTTAACCGAGAGTTTCGAGATATCGAAAAGGACGAGGATTCCTCGCTGGTAGCCAATGACGCATTGATCCTGATTTATGCAGCGAATACATTCGACACCGCCGGGACTAACCTTAAAATCATCGGACACCTATGAACAAAGTAGACAAAAAATATTTGTATTAAAATTACCAACGATTACATGATTGTAACTATAACTAATAAGTTGTTCCTTTTATGGCTATTCGTTAGATGGTTTTTCTAGTTTATCGATAAGCATTCAAGTTAAGAATACTGGCAACCAATTCATTCGGAAAAAAGCTGGAAGCGGTGTTGACATCTGAAGTTGACGTATGTTACCTTTTTATACGTTTAAGTATTAGTTTAGAGAGAATGATAGAGCGGTACCTTTTCTGTAATGAGATCTCTTTGCACGACGATGTCAGTGAACTTGAACGTGTCAAGGTCCAACACATGGACGTCCCCCAATTCAGTACCGATATAGCTTTGCTTCTTGTTTGGAGTCACACAAATGCTAAAGATAGGTTTCTTAAAGTCTGAAATGGTCTCGACAAGTTCAAGCTGAGTATCCACAATTTCCCATAGCGACAGTTCATTGTTATCACCAAGGGTCACCAACCGTCCTAGCAAATGAAATGATAAGACAGTTAGCAAAAATAGTAATAGGCTAAGGTCCTATCGTTCTAGATCTAGCGATCGAGTTACCTTTCAGACATGTTCTAAATTAGAGATATTACGTCGTTCTTCTTTTTTGTACTTACACAATCAGATCACAGACATAGAGAATCTTCGGACATACCGCCATTTTTGTTGGTCGTAAGATTTACAGGAAAGGCTTAGCTTTGTAGACATCACATATTGCCACTTACCCTGGCCCGGTACAAAGTGGGCTTGTATAACGCTTCCTTCAGAAGGATGGTAACTGATGAATTCAACTCCAGGTCGACCGTATACTCGGACCGTGCCAGCTTTCGTGCATATACAAAATAAAGATAGTTCCTCATCTAACGCAAAGCAGGATGGAGCGTGCGGGAAGCCATGAGACATCGTCTGTAATTGATTGTTGGCATGTGCATGTGTAATATGCCTAGACTATGAGACAAAATAACAACATGGCCTTTTCATATACATGCCATTATCATTTTAAGTTATTATGTCTGCCATATTACGACAGACAACTGCATAGAAGTAATGAAGTGGCCATGAAACTGACCAGATTTCGACCTCAACTTTATTTATTTATAAAAGTTCTATATATAGCATTTTTATGAAAAAAAGAATACATGTAAGTAGAAATGATTTATCATGTACAGTGAGCTGTGCTAAATTTTGTTTACATAATATCAGCAAACGCAGAAAGCAAGGACAAAATTCGTCAAACAAGGCTTGTGCTATTCCATGTTGATACGGATTATTTAGTAAATAGAATAACTGGATAGATCAGCTGATGTTCGATAATAAGTGTCAGTTCTCAGAAGGATTGCGCAGGCTATCAGGCAACGCCCTTCACAATGCAGCGTAAACGCTGTGTGTAATAAACGCTTCATTGGTCTACTGGCTATATTTTAACAACATTTTATTGTTAATAGGTCAAGAAATTGTCGTTTTGATTAAAGGTCAGTTCGATTTCTCATCTCGGGGAAACGATCTTCAAAAGAATCTTCATGTATCTATTGTAGGTATACAACCAACCGAACGAATTCCATGTGCGATCGTGTAGAAGACATCATGAAGTGTTATCTTTTTTATTTCATTTACTATCGCTGCACTATGCCGACTCACGATTTCGAGTTCATACTCACCCGCGAAAAGGCGTACAATTCCTTTACAATTTTCGCTCGTTCGAGTGCATATCCTCGGCGGCCCGTGATGAACTTGAACATGGCGACAGCCGTTTGTGTTGCGGGAGCCCAAAGACCCGCGCTATTTTAGCGACTAAGCCTTTTGCTCACAGATAGGCTAGATGACAAAATGAAAGACTTAAATACTACTATGCTAGTCTAAAGTGAGATTCTTTAAATGGACGAAGCTTTACCCGCTGCTAGTAGAAAATCTATTTATTGTTATTAAATCCAGAAAATCCGATCAGCGATAAAGCTACTAACAGTAATATTTCGGCTATAATTTTAACTAATTTCCTTCGTATTATCGCTTACAACAAACCTAGGGTATGTTTGCAGTTCATTCTACTGCACATGTCTTCATGTAGTAAGCTAAACCGAAAAAATGTTTCATTTACCAACCCGCCACTGACTTCTTCAGTCTTGAAGGTCTATCTGTTTGGTCTACTCTCCGATGCTAACAAAGCAGCTTATGACAACGTCTTATACTGTATATGTGTGCAAAATTCACAGTCATATCCTTCTGCTATCATTGCTACTACGTCTAGGAAACATCCTCATCCTTACAGAAGCCAAAAAATATAATAGAGCAACTGCCGACGCGACGGCGGGGACACGGGCGCCAGCGCCCGCGAAACTGTCGAGCTAAGTGAGCGCAAAGGCAGATACCGAATTACGTCAAATAGCTGGCTTCCCTTGCCGCACACCCCTTCCCCACAAATTCGACAGTTCGTGATCGACTTATTGCTGCCCTACGCATTGCCCCTGACAGCATCGAGATAATATAGGGGAAAATAAGATGCACATGTCAGGTGAGGACGCGAGCTTTTGATTTCAGCAGCTGGGAAACGGGGCTCTCCGAGGTCATCATGAGTTGGAATATATACGACATGATGAATCCATAATCGGAGCGTTATCATCCGTCGCGCCGCTTCGCAGAATGGAATAGATTGCCAATTATCAGCAAAGACGTGTTACGCGTATAATGCCTTTGCAACGGTTTTCGTCGCGAGGTACGTTTGTGCGCCCGCATGTGAACCTTACGTCGGACTTCTGAATCAACATGCCTCCGTTTAATACTTGCGCCACGTATACTGGAGGCATGGTTTACTCTGATTTATCAAGCATTTAGAGGGGTAAACAGAAGCATAACTATAATGGCTTACACGCATGATACAGACGGATTAAAGAGATACGTCAGTTGACCGTTCTTTAAAGACTTTCGTTGATTCTTGACCGCTTTGCCATCTCGTTATCTATGGGATCTATTCGTATAATAGATAATCTATTAAGTGCTCTGTTCAAATTGAAGAAAATGATCACTGCTTAGCATTTTTGCTACACTAGTAAATCTATAGCTCTCAAACATCTGATACTTTTTGAAATACTTAAGCTGACGGACCTTCATCTTTTGAGAATCATTGATTTAGTAGTCTGCAGTTACTCGAGTATATGTAAAGCTCCGTGGGAAATGCCGACCGTTTTTGAAGAAAAATTAAGGAAAATATTTTTTACTTTGAAAATGATATTGTTAAGCTAAACAATGCATCATCTTAATCAATTCCTACCATATTTCACGAAAGTTGCATCACTGTAAATTTGTAGCTCACGAGTGAAAATTGTGATTTTTTGATACCTTTATAGAAACAAAATTAACATCATTAACGAAATTGTGCAGCAGCGGAAACAATGCCAGTTTGATGGTGCAGGATCCAGCTATGTGTTAAAATTTTCTGTTTAAGTTATTTCAACTCTTCTGGGTAGCTCTGACATTGTAACAGTGCTCGGTAGTTCCGGCAGATTTTTTTCAGGGGGTCGTTATAATCTTATTAGTCGTTAACAGCAAAGGTTCGAGTAAATCATTTCTCCAGATAGCAGCTATTTACGATGCACATTCTGGGCACGTTAGGTAGCATTCTATTATGACCCATTTTTCATCACCCGTAACGAATCGCTCTATAGCTGATTTGATTTTGTTGTGATGCTATTAATAGTATCACTGATGGAAACGCGATCCATTAAACTCATTCGCGTCAACGCCGTGCGGCAACGAAACATTGAACTTACTTTTTGTTAGCAAACTTGTTTCAAGTAAGTTGAAAGTATTTGGCGATGGACGCTTAGTTCTCACCTTCCACAATAAATTCACCAACTTTTCTCGTAATTGGTTTCAAAAGTGCGACATGGGAGAAGGAAGCGACGGAACCACTTAGTCCATTTCTTTTAATAGTGGCCCATAGCATTTTTTTATGCGTCTAGAGAACAGCTATGCTTTTATCATAAGGAAATTATAAAGTACAACTAATTTTTGCAGAAATCATCCATCTGCAGGACTTATAACCTGAGACCTGTAACTTCGAAGCCATCTGGCGAGAAAATGGTCAATATTTTCTCGACAACCCAATATAAGTACAGCCTCATTATGATCAGCTCGAACATCAAACAACCACGCTTGGGATGTTCACTCTTAACATATGAAGAATTAGTACTTTCTGTATTCGATCTTGCTTCTGCATCGGCCTTAATAATGGACCCTCGGAGAAGTTTGACTTTGCAGGGTGGAGCTAAGTACATTTTACAGCCGTTTTAATCACTTCAACCGCTAACTTGTCACACTTGACGATAGGTACGCCATCTTTGTTCGCCAAACCACTTACGGCCTGATTTTTTTCAATTTCGTTACTCACTCTGTACATTTATAAATAAATCATCTCAGCCTTTCCCATCACATCACATCACATCGCTTCTGTAAAACCCGATACGAATGACCCCTGCCGGATCGATCGTGCAGGACTGCTGTTGCTGACGATGGTGATAACGATGTCAGAATAACAGAACACACATTAACATACTACACTTCTTCCGGCCACCTTCCTAACTTTAAACTGTACAAAGCAATAAGATGCACAAGGTCTCATCAAAATCATTTGTGGAGGCTCATTGCTTTAGTAGCTGTCTTGTATCCATTTTGAAAAACTCAGCTATACACGACCTCTAAACGTGGCCCTATTAAGGCTCACTCATTCGTCGTTACTAGTTTAACTATAGTGGACAGCGATATCTGTCATAATTTGGTTTACAAACGCCAACAGTACCTTTATGCGAAATGAACTATGTGAATAGATAGTCTACCAGGTCACTGACAATGTCTTTGTTTCGTACTGCTTGAACCGCCAAAACGTCAGACATAAGGCTTTTGAAATTTAGAGATCTCTTAAGAGGAAATCTTAAAAAAAGGAAGCGTTAGCGCAAATCCGGCAACGGTGCTGTGATCCTGAACTTTTTTGCACAAATGATGCTTACGGCACTCACCTCTGCGATACGGGCCTAGCCCGAAACAACTGTGGAGATGACTGATGTAATCATCAATGACTTCGAAATGGCCATAAACAAAGAATAAGACAAAACCCTTCTCCCACAGAAGGGGCATCAGGCAAGCAAGGGTGCGAAGCCCGTGCGGTTCCCCAGTTAGATTACTATTGGGGCAAATCATCTCACGATCTGCTCGACGAGTTGGGCCCGAAAAAGAAAAACGGACTTCCTAATGATTAGTGAATCTAACGCTGACTTACATAGTAGTCGAAGAACTGTGGTGTTTTGATGGAGTAGAATGTACAAAAGACAGGAGCGGAATGCGTTTACAGAGCCGTATGACAGACGATGCCCTTACAATCAGCTCCAGAGAACGCACGGAGGATAGTCAAACTCCGTGTACAAGAGTCGCTCGGATGGAGAGTTGAGCAACGTGACCTGATGATCCGTTGCTGCTGCACTATTGTTCAATGAGGATCTGGGCTGGTTGAAAGTGAACCTTGAAACAGCGATCCAGAATTAGTGGTTTCAATAAGAATAAGTCCGACGGCCAAAGCTGAGTGTCGGCCCACAAAGCAGATCTTAAGGTCTGGTAGTCTAGGTCGTACGTAAACTCAAACCGTCAACGCCATCGTTAACGATTTCTAAATTGTTGAGTATGTTCCGTGTTATCGAATACCAATGAATCTAATAGCGTCAACGATTGCTGTCAATTTGTGATACTGGTCGTTAGCGGTGGCTTGAAAAATCAATATATTACAGCGACATATTTTGAAATCGACAAAACCAGTGCGAAACATTGAAATTTCTTCAAAAACGAGCGGAGGAAACCTGAAGATTTACAAAAAGAATAATAAAAATTAGCTGGGCCACCCGGAATATTGCTAGAGTATTTTAAACGTCAGCTCAACTAACCATCGACACCCGTTATAGCATATGTTTAAATAAATGATGGCTCTTCGTAACATGGGTGCTTTTTGACTTTTTTTACGTGTATGCATCACGATAAGGCTAAGATTTCGATCACGTTCCAGTATGCGATGGACGGATACAGATCAATCGACAATCATCTCGTTTGCATTACAAGCCCCTAAGTTTTTTTTTCGAGTCTCGATGTGGAACAAGCAAAGGAAACTCGACATGTATGATCAACGCTCGAGGATTATGTTGCTATGGAAGTCTAACACGCACTTGCGGCATTTCATCCGTTATTGATCTACGGAACTCTACTTGGGTTACAAATGGAGTTCTTCGAAGTCGTCACAGAACAATAAAACATTGCGCCGATCGACAAGCGGCCCACTTCTGGGTTCATCATCTGAGGTCATCACCCAGCATTTTAGTGGGTCATTTTACCAATAACTAATGCTTCTTCGAGCGGCGACGACATTCATCAGAATCGGTAGGTGAACTAACTACATGACGATTTCCTTTCGATTTCTATTTTATTGCAATGAACGACCAAAATGAATTAGGTTTATTGTCGAGAAAAATATCGAGACGACTCTCTCACAAATGCCTCTAATGAATTTTACATTTGATTTCAACAAGAACCTAGAATTTATCTGGTCTATCTAATTATATATGCAAGAGCAACATCAATGGTTGTAGACAACTAAAGCCAGATTAGTTGAAGGAACCGCGGTTCCCAAACGAAGTGCACGATGTTATCATACGCTCAGTCGATAATGCCACGAACTGCGTCGATCGATGAAGATCCCACGTGTAGAGAACTCACAAGTGTACTATAGAACAGACGGAGAAACGAATGGGTCAGGTTTTGTGCTACCGGCGGCACTGCGGCCACAATGCAGGAGTGAGCTATTTGTGCGCATAGTCCAGCTTAAGCAATAACCGGGACGACGCCACTAGGGAGTCACGCATGTACGTGCACCGGCAACGTCAACCTGAGCTGATTCACAACTATAGATGATAGCGGACGCTTTGAACCTGCGGAAGCAGCGGCAGCAGTACAGCTACGAGTAGACCCCAAGCAATAACACCAGCTTCAGAGAAACCGAGGCGATTCTGGCTGTCGAGTAGCAGCTAGCGTCTCCTAGACAACGAAAGAAGAGATAACATCGCAGTCAACAACAATCGTGCAACATGGAACAACGTCATCACCATGGGCAAGCAAGGAAGCGCCGTCGCTGCTGCTGCTCCTGCTGCTGCTGCTGCAGGAGCTGCAATAGCCGTCGCCGAAAACTAGCGTTAGTGGGCAACGGACCAAGCGACCCACGCGGATCAGTAGCGCGAACGACGCTGACAGAAACTGGAGATCGGCAGATCGGCCCATGAAAGGGGCAAGCCGAACAAGAGAACGACCTGCAGCAGCATTCGCTTCAATGCACGATGCTCGTAGCCGAGTTGGTGTCGTTCTGTGCATCGTAACTACATCTGCTTCTGATGTCTCAGATGGCCGCAGTTAAACCCGCTCGGAGCCAGAAGATAGCAAAGCTGCGACGACTATGCAGAGAGGCAAAGAAAAAAGGCAAAGAACAACGACAAAGACTAGTGCTACTCAACGAAGCACGAAATAAAGCGGACGTTGGCCACCAACAGAAAAGCTCAGGCACAATAGAAGAGCAGTAACACACTCCTTTCTGTTTTTTGCTACTGAATAGCAGCTACTGTCATTTCTGTTCAGCTGACGCCATTCGGGTCTAACGTCACTGTCGTTACTGCAGTTGCAGCTACAACTACCAATGCTGTTACTTCGTTAAACACTATCGCTAAAGTTGAGCCAGGAGATGCAGGATTTCAGCAAGTCTATATCCACCTGCCAGTTCGTCCTTGTCTGCATCTGCTTATCGTTTTATTTCTAGCTATCCTTATTTTGAGCACTCTGCACCGACGCTGTCTCCATGTAAACGCGGTCTGTAGAATTTTTCCATCGAGTAACTGATCGAATTAAGGTACGCGAACCATTAGCAATAGTACGTCTGCCCATATTATAAAATATTGTATTTATATATCGAATTTGCTTCGTACAGATATGGCATGAAGGCGATGGTGAGGGGCGGGAATGTTGACGTCGCAAAACACATTCATCGGAAGGTTGCTTTTCTGTCTGCAGGAACATTTATAGATAGTGAGTACCTTTTCACCGAAAGCCAATTGTCTTTGGGTTGAACCCGTTTTGCCTTTCTGTCGTCGCTGTCACCATCAACGACTCACGTATCATTTCCCGCGTGAGCTGCTGCATTTAGGCAAGATGAGTCGGGAATCAGGAACTTGATCCAATGCATTTTTCCGGACAGAAAGCAATTTATTCCATCGGCTCATAATCGTCCAGGTCCCACTGTGGACGTACACACGACATTTACGTGCTCTTATACGGAAAGTGTTCCGCGTTTGTCTGCCATCTGCCTCTTGCATTACGACAGTACTCGAGGCAGCAAACAGACAAAACAGAGTCGTCACAGGAAACCAACTACCACCGACGCCATCGTCATACAACATTTCTATATATATCTTCGCCCAATGTGTGAGTATGGAGAGTGGGGGGTTACATTGCACTGCTCCCGGCAAAGACAACAGCGACTCGGACGGAAAAACACTGACGAACGTAGCAATGTGTAGCCGGTAGGTACACAATATTATAAGCGCCACGATTGCTGGCCTGTGCTAAGGACAAGCGCACCTTGATCAGATGGATGAATGAGAATAGATTAGGCATATTTCATATCTAGAAGCAGCAATGGCCTAGTTCGAAGGAGAGGAGACATCGCTGACAGACTAAGAAGCGTATTGTGACGCGTCTAATACGCGGCATGCCATGTACGCGCGCCGACATGCATACGGAGCCAGACGGGCCCCGCATAGAACACTCAGTTGTGACATCACTTCTTATTCTGCATATATATGGTATAATGAATTAATTTAATGCAGGATGCCGGTTTTTGCGATAGCAGCAGGGAAGCATAACTACGCATATGCCATTATCCGTTGGTAGCCCTTGCCAAGTTCCAAACACAATTTGATATGCGGTTAGATACTCAATGATAGAAGGATGATGAATCTATCAGATTAAAGATTGACCTTTACAATCAAAGGGGACGTATAACCCAGACTGCAGTAGAGTTCTAAGGAGAGCATGCTGTTACAAATGTACAGTTATCCGCACTGCAAAGTTACTGTTGTTATATCGTTAAAAATCTGTCACCCAGACGAACGAACCTTACTGCCTACTTATAGTAAGTGAATAAAGTTGAATTTCAACTTTATTCACTACTATTTCTAATTTCTAAGTACTAGCCTAGGCACACTCAGAGTAGTTCTTGCAAGGCTAGAAATCTACCTCGCAAGCAAGCACAAACTATAGTTATTTGAATCTTTATACAATACAATATTCTGACAAGGATCTCATGGTCAGTCAGTTAAGTGATTATTCGCTCAAATGTTTGTCCTTTCACCAACCCCAACACACATAACCATTCGATCGGTTCTTGCGTAAGTCAGGTAGTATTCCTCTAGGAAATGGGGTACTTTATACGTTTATTTAACACACTGTCGATGCTGTTTAGTAGTTATTGTCATCTTTCATTGTTCTGGCCGTCGTAAGCATCGTCGTTGTCCATGCCTGAAAGTTTCTGGAGACGCAACCGCCATCGTCGCGTCCCGTGCAATTGTCACAAGAGGGGACGACGACAACAATGAATTTTAATAAGTGGCTCGAACGAAACCTAGTCGGAGGAAGTTGTTGCAAATTAACACAAGGAGAACGCAACAAGGAAAACATAAGCCGACTCCTTGCGCCACCATGTCGCAGGATCATTGACGTAGATCGACAATCGATTGCCCGCTTATCGGCAAGTCCGACAATCACATCAGCCGGTCCTGCTATTTATATACGCAGACACGATACCGCACCGCAAATCACGTCTAATGAGAAAATAGGTCACAGGATCCTAGCCGTTTCATAACTGCTGGACCACTACACAGCATTGACGCTAAGACTAAAGCCGCGGCCGCCGTTGTGAATACCTAAAGACGAATATACGATAGAAGCTCATCCCCAACCCCGACATCCCCCGCCCTTTACCCCTGTGAGAGTGTTCGGCGCGTTGTTTCTGCTTTCCAGCTATCGACGTTACCGCTGCCGGTTCTTTCGTCACAGTCGCGGATAGAAGCCGGCAAATATTCCCCTCCAGCTACGTCCGTGTGCGTGTGCGTGTGCGTGTGCGCATTGCTGATTGTAGACAGAGAAAGAGTGAATGATGTTAAGAGCAGT